TTTTTTTTTTTAATATCTCATTGAGATTCTTTGTCAGGTAGTTTTTAATATCTCTATTTCTTTGCAGATAGTATTTGAACTTCATTATAGTTATCTTAGGTGGTGATCATGCTTGCCTGATCCTTCATGATTTGTGGGAGGTTTTTTTGTTTTGTTTTGAGACAGAGTCTCAAGCTGTTGCTCTGGGTAGAGTGCTGTGGTGTCACAGCTTACAGCAACCTCCAACTCTTGGGCTTAAGGGATTCTCTTGCCTCAGCCTCCCAAGTAGCTGGGACCCCAGGCATCTGCCACAATGCCCAGCTATTTTTTGGTTGTAGTTGTCATTGTTTTTTGGCAGGCCCTGGCTGGATTCAAGCCCACCAGCTCCGATGTATGTAGCTAGCACCCTAGCCGCTATGCTACAGATGCCGAGCCGATTTGTATATTCTTAACTCCTTCAGATTCAGAAGGAATCTTCCAATAATCACAGACTAGTTTTAGAAGTTAAAAATCTCCTATTTGGTCCCTGGTCTAATGAGACTTTAACTGAGATTGAAGTTGACTGAGTTTGGAGTCAGGTCCCATGACTGCTGTTGAGTCTTCAGTGAACTACCTGATTGGCAGAGCATTGGGCAGTCATTGATTCTGTCTGTGCCCTGGGAATACTGAAATTTCTTTAGGATCTTGATCAGTAGAACTAGTACTGAGACAAGGAATCACCGTTGTTTCTGCAGATAGGGTACTGATGAAATAGATGGGGACAGGTTTGACTCCTGATGGATCCCTGGGAATATTCTCACCGATTCATTGGACAGGTCTCTGGTGGGTGGGTCTGATCCCTGGTCACAGCTGCTCATGGGGCTTCTGTAGCTGAAACCAAAGCCTTTAGATTTGTTTCTTCATCTATGGCATGTCTCCTAGCTTTTTAGGTGGGCAGGGCTGCTCCTAGAATCTGAAGCTGAGTTACAGGGCTGCTTAAGATTGAACAGGAGACTAATACTAGCATGCCTGCTTATATGGACACAGATATATGTGTTTTGAGACAGCTCCCAGATTAGCCAACCTGCTTCTGGAACTGTGGCTACCTGCAGCTAGAGCCAGCCAGTTTACAATATTGTTTCAAGATGTACATTAGGGTCAAAGTTGGTTGTCTTGCATCCAGGGTCACAAATGTATGTTTCTCTCTTAAGAGTCCTGTGTTTGTAGGATTTTTTCCAGAGCATAGGTGAGAGGTCAGGAAGGTTGAGCATCAGTCCTCTTAACCTAAGACATAAGTGAGTGTGAATCCTCCTAAATATCTTGGCAGATGGTGCTAATGGAAAGAGAAGAGAAAATGGGATATAGGTAGTGGTACAGAGGTATCTGGCCATCTTTTGTTTTGAAGCTGGGACTGTGTTTGGCAACTCTGTCCTCTCTAAATGGTCCTATTCAGGCTTGGGCTGCTCCAGGGCATCACATGCTCAGACCTGGATCCTAAAACTCTCAGAGAAGCAGTTTTGTTTGGGCATGGATTCCACATTATCCTGTGGGACTTACAATAGGGAACTTTCTAGTCTGTCATCCTGGTTATGTTCTTCTGTAGGATTCAGTTTTGGAAATGTTTGTGATTTTTAGACTCAAAAGATCCAAAATAAAATGCCCAAATTTACATGGTATTTAAGAATTGAATTAGATTATATGTAGGCACAGCATTTATTTAAATGTTTTGATATAACTTTAAGTTTACTGAATGCAATAAGGAATCATTAAAATTTGTATCTATTTTTCTCAGCCTATATCTAAATTATGTTAATAACTTAATCCAGAGTGTCTGGATGTGTTTTTCAAGTAATTCTCAAATAAGGAAGTTTTTCTAGATTTTTCAAATGTTCATTATTTAAATTTTCTCATAAGAGCATTTTATTAATAATTATAATGCAGGCCAGGTATGGTGTCTTATGCCTATAATCCTAGCTCTTGGGAGGCTGGGTGGGCGGATTCACAGATGGGCGGATTCCTTGCTCTCAGGAGTTGGAGACCAGCCGGAGCAACAGTGAGGCCCCATATCTACTAAAAATAGGAAAAAAAGGCCTGGTGCCTGTGGCTCAAGCAGCTAAGGTGCCAGCCAAATATACCTAAAGTGGTGGGTTTGAATCCAGCCTGGGCCTGCCAAACAACAATGATAGCAATCAAAAAAAAAAATAGCTGGGCGTTGTGGTGGGCACCTGTGGTCCCAGCTACTTGGGAGGCTGAGGCAGGAGACCTGGCTTGAGCTCGGAAGTTGGAGGTTGCTGTGAGCTATGATGCTATGGCACTCTACCCATGGCAACAGCTTGAGGCTCTGTCTCAAAATT